TTCATTATCAAAGAACGAAACACATAGCCATGAAATATCACTTCATCAGAGAAGTAGAGACAACTAAGCAAATTCAACTTGAATACTGCTCAATAGAAGATCAAGTTGCAGACATATTTACAAAGGTACTACCAAGAGCGAAGTTTGAACAACTACGGACTATGCTTGGAGTTACCAAATTTTTCATCAAGGAGGAGTGTTAAGTTATGATGCAAATTCTAGAAAAGAAAAAGAAAAATCTAGAAACATAAGATAAGATGTATAAGAAAGAAAAAGAAAATTCTAGAAACATAAGATAAGATGTATAAGTCTCTAGAAAAATCTAAAAGAGTGTAGAGACTTAAAGAGTCTAGAAAATTCTAGATATTTCCACCATCATCTAGAGATGGAGCACCATGCCTATAAATAGGCAAATTGTGACTTCATTGTAGGTTAATTTCCCTTTTTATTCTCATTTATTCTTTTACAAGAAGGGATATGTTCTAAATGAATGTAATGCAAAATGTAGAGAAAGTTGAGAATAATAAATATCAGTCTTATTGATTTGTTTATCTGTGAATGCTCAAATAGATTTTGATAGTATTAAGCGAGAATCTATATTAGATTCTAAGAAGACTTACTTTAACAAACATATCAAAGCAAGGGCCCAACCATAGTATTTTTTTAAAAAAAATTGATTTGGGCTTTTCTTTAGAGTGTAGATACTGTCGTATATTAGAGTATTTACTTTTCTTAACTTTCTAAACGTACTGCAACCTAATCCTCCTTAGCTAATAAAATAAAATGAATGAAATTAATGAGCTAATCTAGAATGCATGTCATTTTTATTTACTAATCTTTATCATGTTTCTATTATCTAAAGGGGAATGATGCATGGAGATGAGATTTCTTTTATTCATTTTTTTTAAAAAAAAAAAGAAACTACCTATATGATGTTAATGAAATGCTGACCTAAGAATGTACAAAGGGGTATACAAATTTTATTATTTTTATTTCTTTATTATATTTTTGCTTATTTTAAAATTCCAATCCATCTTATTAGAAAAAAAATAATACAAACAAATGCACACACACATGCTCAATCAACGTACACCCACGAACGATCATGTTCAAATCCTTAGTCTGTGGTCCCTGTCAAGAAAAGTGCATTGTATAAGACGGTTCTAGTCTCACTGGTCTTTAAGGCCCCCAAGGTGCCCCCATTATAGGGACCCAGTATCTCTGTCGCCGTCACCTGACAAACTCTAAGCTCTGTTACAGTATTTCGGGCTAGAGTAACCAGTTATCACCTTGAGTGTGATTTCTGACAAGGCTCGCAGGCTCTAAGGCCAAACTTGGGCCGGTCGTACGTCAATCACTCCCTATGTTTAATACCCTCATGCCCTCGGGTGTAGGGAGAACTATTGTGTGCAAAGGTTTGTGTATAATTTTTATTCAAACAAATGCAAAATTTAAACAAGCAAACAAATATTAAAGCCAAACAAATAAAACAAAGAAAGTAAAGGGGAAAAATATTTAAATTATAATTCTCATTTTATTAACTTCATCTTTTATATAGGCCTATTAAAACGTCCCTAGTTTATTTCCGACCCGGACAATTTTAGGGGTCTACAATGGGAAGCCAAAGTGGACGTTCAAAATCTGAATTCAAATTCAAATTTGAATTCAAATTTTGGCGCCACTTTTGTGTCTTAGGAGTTGGCGCCACTTTCTTGATTTCTATGCCTATATATGCTTAGTTCCTTCGATTTTGTAATGACTTTGACATAAATAAGAATTTCTGAAAATATTTCAGCCTTGTTCTCTCCCTCAAAGTCACCTAGAGCTCATAGTTTTAGCCTTAGGAACCCTAGTTTCTAAGCTTGGCCGTGAACACTCTTTTGGAGTTCTTGCTCGGATGCTTCCATCCTAGCTTAAGCTTCTCTCAATTTGGATTCATCTTCACTCTTCAAATCCGAATTTTCACATCAAGGAAGAAGATCTGATTGCTTGGAGGAGAAAAAGGAAGCCAATCTCTTCACTTCACTTATCTCACTCCATCATATAGTCTATTCTAATTTAACTAAAAATTACTTAGTTAAAAATAAGTGTATGATAAATAAATAAAATTTTAAAATTACCATAAACCAATTAGTTTATTAAGTTAGCTATATAAATTAATTAATTGTCTTTTAATTAATTAGGTACCTCTTACATAGACAAATTAGGTATCCAACTTAAAAAATTAGGTACCTCTTATATGTTTTTTTTTTATAATTTCAGCAATAATATTTTTTTTAAGTTATTTTATTTTGAATTACCTTTACTATTGAAATTGATTTTATATTATTTTTGTAGTCCCATAAACAAAAAGAAAATTATGAGTGTGGATACTATATAATGAAAACAATGCATACTATTGTCAATTCACAAATAATATTTGGGTGGATTGGACTAAGTTTTATAATTTTGAAAGCTCTTATTTTATGTTTTATTTTACATGTTTTATGAAATATTACTAATTGTTCTAATTTTTCTTAACAAATATTTATATATCGATCACCATTACCGCTAAAACACATAAATACCATAAGGTAGTAATGAGACACATTTTTCATTGATCATTACATTAACTAGCTAGGATGACCTATGTTTTAGTATTGCATTGATTAGGTAGTGTAGACACCCAATTTCGTCTGGAGTACCCAAACCAAGGATAGAGGTCAACTAGAGCGAGACAAACAACCCTCGAAGGGACCAACACATTGGGTAGCAGTTTTGTTATGATAACATCTCTCATTACAAAACTAATTTTGACAATCCAACCGTTGAGATTAAAGATAAATTTATTGAGAAGATATTATCAAAATTCTAGCATGATCCAACAGTTAACAAGTTTTCTAAAAGCCTCGTACTGCAATTGGAAAAAGTAGTATGTATGGCCCCTAAGGGCCCAATAGAGCACCAAAATGGGCCAAGATGGCTCAATAAGTCCCAAAAAAACTCAAGAAAACTGATATGGAGCGTGGAATGGCCGTTCCCAAATTGGAACGGCCCGTTCCGAAACTGGAACGGGTAGTTCTTCCCTCCAAAAACTTTTGTGTTGGGCAGCATTTTTGTTCCAATAATATCACCCTCTAAAGACCTAATATTCACAATCCGACCGTTGAATTTAAAGATAAATGTCTTAAGAATATACATCATCAAAGTTTTAGCATGATCCAACGGTTAATAATTTCTATAGAGGTCTCACATTGCAGCCGGAAAATATGAATCCTATACCAGACAACGTTTTTGTTATGATAGTATCTGTCACTACAAACCTAATTTCAACGATCCAACCGTTGAAATTGAAGACCAATGTATTGTGAGGATACCATAAAAGAACCAGCACTATCCGACGGTTAACAAGTTCTCTAGAGGTCTTGCATGGTGCCTAGGAAAAGATGGTATTTTTTATAAAATTTAGTCCCACATCGGATAACTCTCTTATGCTTTTATCTCCTAGTTGGCTATATAAGAAACCCTCTGGCCAAGGGATTTGGAGGAAAGAAAATAGCTACATAGCTTCCCCCCTCTCTATATGAACCTTTGAGTGATAGTGAGGTTTTGTAGAGCGAAGGGCTACCAAACGCGCCCCCGCACGCATTTGGGAAAGTCCCCTTATAAAATGCTTGCTTTAGAGGTTCTAAATTCTTCTCTTTTATTTATTATTTTATTTATTGTTTTATTTATTATTTCATTTATTATTCTATTTATTTCTTTATTTATCATTTTATTTATAATTCTTAGATACCGATAAATAATCATGTAGATAATAGGTATTTTTTTATCATGTAAACAATATTAAATAATAAAAAAAGGATAAGATATTTAAAATATTATTTACTATTATGCTGATTTGACCATAGGGTACTAATTTAGGGCGTTGTCGGGGTGCCTAATACCTTTCCTACAGGTAACCGACCTCCAAACCTAATTTTGGCTATGAAGACCTTTATTTCTAATTTCAAAATCTTTTCTTTTTTCCAATGTTTTGAGTTAAACATTGGTGGCGACTCCATGAACTCATTTTTCAAAACTATTAATTAAGGATTAGTCTGGTTTCTAGGCATACCCTAATTGAAGAGATTTTTCAAAAGGTAGTCCAAACGATTGGTCGTAAGATCGAAATTTTTTGGGTTATGACAGATAGGACTTATGTATAACATATATTTAAAACTTTTGTTTATCAATTTTTCTCATTTATATTCAATTTGGTCCATTGAGAAGTAATATAGGAAATGTAGACATTTTGCTTCATTGAAAACATATGAATTGTCTAGTATTTATTAATTTATAGGTTTTATTCTGGAAAGCTCCTAAATAAATCAGATTTAAAAAAAAATCACCACTTTTAAGAAGATCGGTTATTTCATAACCATTTTAAGATCGGTTATGAAATAATCGATTCAAAAGTGAACTTTTAAAATCGATTAATAATCGATTTTAAAAGTCAAGCTTTTAAAATCGATTAATAATCGATTTTAAAAGTCAAGCTTTTAAAATCGTCTAGTTTAAGATTGGTTAAAAATCGATTTTAATTATCTATAATAACCGATTTTAAAAGTCTTTTTTCCACTAATAAAAGTAAAGATCAACTTTGAGACTACTCACTACTTAAGTATTAATTGAACTTAATTTTGACGACAAGCTGACCTATTTAGCTTCCGAGCTTAATTTTGAGCCTACAAACTACTTAACTTCCAAGTTAAACTTCACCAAAGGACAAGTTTGAGCCTATATACTATTTAAGCTTCTGAGCTTAATTTCAGCCAAATGATTGAGTCCAAATCCTTCTCTATATATATATATTAAAGATAAGATAAAGAACTATTGTCATTTCTTTTTTTCCCATAATCAGATTATTTGAGTAACTTAAATAGAGTCATACAAATAGAAATAGATTTAGCAATCACATTAACAGATGATTAAGCAAAAGTTGAACACTTTCAGATCCCGTTCGAGGCTAGCTAACGTGCCACAAGATAAAAAGTTGTAAATCACAATGTGACATAGTCCAGTCTCGATAAGAATGCAGTTCAAGTAGTGTGCATTTTGTTTAAGAGTTAGCTACATGACATCACCACCAAAAGCATATATTGAGGATTAAAAGGGGGCAAACAGCGTATGTACCATGTTGTTACGCTGAATACAGTGGACGCCTATATTCATCAAAATACTGATCACGATCAATGAAGACAATAGCATACAGGGCATAAATTATTCCTGGAATATACCCAAGTATGGTCAGGAGCAAGCAGATCATGAACTCCACCTGCATTAATGCAACCACAGTCTCCGTCACAATCAAGTCGATCGGAGCAAATTCTAGCACACTTTCTAGTTGGTATAACAAACTCAAATTATGTTATTAATACTTATCTTTTTTTTTTTTTTTTGGGAAAATATGTAAATTTTAAATCTGGTTCCTCTTGTTTATCTTTTATTCATTTTTATACTCGTACTTAACAAAAGTTAAAGTACAAAGTAATTTCTTCAATACAATTTGAAATAGTTGAAATAGGTCCCTATACTATTTTTTTTAATTGAGTTTTCCGTGATATTTCTATATTAATATTTTAGTTTGTATAATGTACTGAGTAAATATTTATTATATGTAACTAAAATTTATAATAAATTATAAACAAAAAAATATTATATTTTAATACATAAATTATATTTAAAATTATTAGGAAAATAATTCAAATTTTCAAATTCAAATATCTAAGATAGTATTTAGATTTTAAAAAATATTGATTCTTTTAGGATATTATTTAGAATTGAAATATATTGTATTTATTTTAGAAATTTGTTTCCTATTTTAAGATTGTGATGTAAGGTTAATAAATAGAGATTCTTGAGATGAGAAGAATTACCCGATCTGTAGGGAGTCACCGCCTTAAATGAGAGAGGAGGTCATACGAATGAGGGTTTCCAAGTTTCGCCAAAAAACTTGTAAATGAGAGTTTCCAAGTTTCACCCATAAAACTTGTGAGAAAGGGTGATGGAAACTTGTTTAGAGAATCCGGATTGATGTGAATCCTCTTCAAGTTCCTCCCTAGACCTTTGGCTCCTTGATTCTTCTTAAGCTTCTCTAAGGTCTCCAATGGAGGAAGAGACCTTAGAACCACCACGGTTTGGTGGGGAACTCTCTCAAGAGACGCCACTCCTTGGTGAAGAGATAAGTCTCTTCAATTCTCACCACACTCTTCTATGGAAGGGATAAGAGAATTGGATGAATATCAAAGAGGTTAAAGACTTTTGGAAGAGAGAATTTTCGTGCAAATTCTGATCTCACTCAAAAATATCATCCAAAAGTGTTTTACAATGAAGGAAAAACGAAAATATAGGAGTAGGAAGCTTGGAGAGCAAGCTAGCCTTAACCATGGTTCACTAGGAACCATGGTAAGGTCTAGCTAACCATCCATGGTCTAGAGGCTTGGAGAGCAAGCTACTCACTTAGCTTGCTTGGTAAGCAAGCTAAGGAGAAGCTTGTGCTTCAAGCTTCTAAGCTTGAGTGTGAACAAGCAATGTGAACACAAATCAAGGTGGGCGGCTCATGGACTTTATTTTACTCCAACTGGTTTTGAAAAAATGTTGATTTGGTTTAGTTAGGTTCATCCAATGTGAATGAAACCTAGCTAAATCAAATCTATGAAAAATTAGGAGTAAAATGAGTCTAATATGTAAAATTTTGCCTAGGCCCATCTCTAGGCCCAATTGCTAGTAACACTCTCTAGCTTGCTAGTTACACTCTCTAGCTTGCTAATGCCACTCCCAATCCTACTACTAGAAAACTAAGAAAAGAGTGTATTTCTAGATTAGGTTAAATGGAGTCAAAGTGTCCAAGTAACCTACCCTAGAAACAATATACAATAGCTACAAAAAAGGAAATAAAGTGCCTCACAAATAAAAAGGCAAAAATACACCTATACAAGTATCTACTATATACAAGGTACAAGAAATCAAACTATACAATGTATGTACAATAGAGACTATGAGACTAAAAAGAGGAATCATACTCAATACTCATATTGAGCATAGGTCTAAGAAGCACCTCCTCTCTAGAAACCTCCTCTAGCCTCCTAACCATGAACCTAGTTAAAGGCCCAATGGTCTTCAAGTGTGAGCCTCCTTGGATCAACTTTCACCCTTCTTGGTCTTACCTCTTCCAAAGGGATCATTGGGGATTAGATTTCCATCAAAGGGATTTTCTAGTTTAACCCACAAAACTTGAAGGGAGGATTTTCAGGCTATATGTAATACATTTTGAGATAAATAATGAACATCCTCGTGGACGTAGGCATGAGGGGCTGAACCATGTTAAATAAATTTGTGTGATATTTTCCTATTTCTTTTATGGTGTTATTTTAATATGTTTCTCTTCATTATTATTGTGCAAAAAAAGAATAATTTTTTGTTCCTAACAGTGGTATCAGAGCTCATGGCTCATGGACCCTGGTGGCCTGTCACTTCAGTATTGAAGATTAACATACAACTATTTCAATACCCAAGAAATGGAGATAAGAAAAACTGTAGAGTAAAAGTATGATTGAAGATGATTGTGACAAACATCCATGACAATAAGGTCAAATTTGAAAATTTTAATTGAGGGAGGAATAGTTAGAAAAATTCAAATTTTCAAATTCAAATCTCTAAGATAGTATTATATTTTAAAAGATATTGATTCTTTTAGGATATTGTTTTATAATTGAAATATATTGTATTTCTTTTATAGATTTGTTTCCTCTTTTAAGAGTGTGATGTAATTTCAATAAATAGAAACTCTTGAGATGAGAAGAATCACCCGACTTGTAGGAGGGTCACCCTATTAAATGAGAGAGGAGATATGAAGGTGGATTTTCAAGTTTCGCCAGAATACTTGTGAATGAGGGTTTTCAAGTTTCACCATAAAACCCTTGAGAAAGTGGTTTTCAAGTTTAACCCACAAAACATGAAGGGGGACTTTTAGGAAATATGTAATACATTTTGAGATAAATAATAAATATTCTTGTGGACATAGGCATGAGGGATTGAACCACGTTAAATAAATTTGTGTGATATTTTCCTATTTCTTTTATGGTGTTATTTGAATATGTTTTTCATCATTATTATTGTGGGAAAAGAAAAGAATATTTTTTTGTTCCCAACGGTGGTATTAGAGCTCATGGTTCATGGAGCGTGGTGACTTGTCACTTAAGTACTGAAGATTGACATACAACAATTTCAATACCCAAGAAATGGAGACAAGAAAAACTGCAAAGTAAAATTTTGATTGAAGATGATTGTGACAAGAATCCATGACTACAAGGTCAAATTTTAAAATTTTCAATTAAGGGAGGAATTGTTGGGAAAATAATTCAAGTTTTCAAATTCAAATCTCTATAGAGTAAAAGTATGATTGAAGATGATTGTGACAAGCATCCATGACAACAAGGTCAAATATGAAAATTTTAATTGAGGGAAGAGTTTTGGGAAAGCAATTCAAATTTTCAAATTCAAATCTCTAAGATAGTATTTAGATTTTAAAAGATATTGATTCTTTTAGGATATTGTTTAGAATTGAAATATATTATATTATTTTAGATATTTTTTTTCCTCTTTTAAGATTGTGATGTAAGGTCATTAAATGGAGACTCTTGAGATGAGAAGAATCATCCGACCTGTAGGGGGGTCACCACCTTAAATGAGAGAGGAGGTCATATGAATGAGAGTTTCCAAGTTTCGTCAGAATACTTGTGAATGAGGGTTTTCAACTTTCGTCAGAAAACTTGTAAGGAAAGGGTTTCCAAATTTTACCAATAAAACTTGTGAGGAAGGAGTTTTCAAGTTTAACCCACAAAACTCGAAGGACGATTTTCAGGATACATGTAATACATTTTAAAATAAATAATGAACATCCTTGTGGACGTAATCATGAGGGACTGAACCACATTAAATAAATTTGTATGATATTTTTCTATTTTTTTATCATTTTATTTTAATGTTTCTCATCATTATTATTGTGTGAAAAGAAAATAAATTTTTTTTGTTCACAACAAAAATTTGTATAAATAGATATTTTAAACATATAAGTTATATTTTATATTTGTGATAAATAATTTATATTATAACACACTATTATTTTTATTTATTAAAAATGTTAAAATTTAATTTATGAATAATTAAGATAAATAAAAACTAAATTAGATTAGAAGTTAAAAATATTTTAAAACTTTCTTGTAAAAAAAACTCTTAAAAATATTTAATATATAGATTTTAATTAAATAAATGTGTATGATTTTTAAATAGACCAGAATTTTCTCGCTAATTCCAATCCCAGAAAATTAACTCCAGTATTTTGTTTTCTTAGTCTAGAGACTTAATGAAAAAAAGGTTTAGAACCTATTTAAAAATTTCAAATAATGTAGAAATCAATTTATTAATTTAACCTTTAATAGAATTAATATATCTCAAGTCCCTTGCTAGTCGCTTGAAACTAAAAATATTAAATTTTTTATAATTTAAAATTTAAAATAAAATAAATTAAAAATGCATCGTATTTAACTTGAATATTTGTGTGTTTTTTACATTGCCAACAAATTAAAAAACTACCATGCATATGAATTTTAATATAATTATTACAAGATAACAGTTTTCAATTATAGGGCGTTTTATGGTTAGATAACATATAAATCATTGGTATAATTTAATTAATTCTACATTTATTTTTAAATTTAAAATTATATTTATACCATAAAATACAGAATAAAAAATATACACCAAAATAATGTATTTTTTAATATCATTTGACGTAAATTATCTTATATTAAAAAGATTATTTGTTTTAATAATTATTCTAAATTTCATATTAAGAATAATTTTTTGATTAATTTAGTCTATTCCACAAAAGTATAATACAAAATCGTTAATTTGACAAAATGTTCAAGATAAAATGCTCAAATAGACATTACTAGAATGCTAAAATTACTTTGATGCACAAAATTCAATGAAGATGATCAAAAGCAGAGAAATGATTAACAGATCAGGAACTTCCTTTTCTAATGAGTTGTAACATGATATGAATCATATGATATGGGGTGTTTATATTTTATAAAAATGGAAAATAAAAACTCTAGCCATGACCTAATGTTGGTATATATGTTATGTGTATATAGAAATATAGTAATAAAAGAAAGGGATGCATACACTGCAGCATCCATGGCGAAAGCAAACTCCAATTGGAGGGAGTAAGATGGCTATCATAATCTCACAGCATATTTCACAGCGATTGGGCATTTTCAATTCTCGTACAGTGCCTGTTGTCGATGAATCTGTGTTACAAGATATATAGATATCTTGCACTTCTTTCCTTTCACATCTGAGATGATAGTAAATCAAACGTGGACGGTTACGTTTTCTATTTATATACTTTTATGGCTGCATTGAATTAATCGCCTTTCATCATGGAAGAGCACGTGTAATTTCGTTTATAATTAATGTCAACATTTTCTGCAAATTTGTTAGTATTGTTAATTAAATTATGATGTAAATTCTAGAAAAGAAAAAGAAAAATCTAGAAACATAAGATAAAATGTATAAGAAAGAAAAAGAAAATTCTAGAAATATAAGATAAAATATATAAGTCTCTAGAAAAATCTAAAAAAGTGTAGAGACTTGAAGAGTCTAGAAAATTCTAGATATTTCTACCATCATCTAGAGATGGTGCTCTATAAATAGGAAAATTGCGACTTCATTGTAACAACAATGACAATTATCACAACTACGTACTACTACTCTCTAAATACAAATAAATTTCTATTATTCCACCAACTATTCCCTTGAAAACTATTATATATTAACAGTGGTACCAGAGTTACGTTCGGTCATCTACTGGCGAAGAAAAATCACCCAACCACTTCTAAAATTCTTTTTTATACTTATAAACATTTTTCTTTCATCTATGGCCTCCAATACCGTTAATTTTTTATCTGTCCCTTTAGCATTTTTTACTGGTGAAAATTTTGATCTTTGGAAGCTCAAACTAAAGACATATTTTATCTCACAAAAACTATGGGATATCGTTCAATCTGGTTATACAAAACCAGATAATACTATCACTTTGTCTAAGAAGGAGTAGAAGAAGTTAGAAGATTGTGAACAAAAGGATGCACAAGCACTGTTTGTTCTTCAACAAGTTGTGCGAGAAACTATCGCTAGAAGGATCATGGATGCCGATACTGCAAAAAAGGCATGGGATATTTTGGAAGAAGAATTTGAAGGTAATGAACAGGTACACTCTGTCAAGCTACACTATCTAAGAAGAGAATTTGAGACCATTAAAATGAAGGAATCTGAGACCATTGAAGAATACTATGGAAGAATAAAAGAAATAGTTAATAAAATGAAATTATATGGAAAAGAAATTAAGGAGAAAAGAGTGGTAGAAAAAATTCTTATCACTCTCACAGAAAAATATGATTCCATTGTAGCTTCCATAGAAACTTCCTCAGACCCATCTTCTCTATCAGTGAATAAATTAATTGGTCTCCTCGGAGCACACGAAGCAAGATTAAATAGTTGTGTCGATAGAAATTTAGTTGAAAATGCATTTCAATCAAAGCTTAAATTACAGTCTAGAAATAAAGAAGATGGAGAAAAGAAAAATGCTGGAGAATATTCTAGAAACAAAGATTCTAGAAATTTCTCTAGAAACAAAAAAGATAAATACGTACCCTTCATGTGGTATTTGCAATAATTCGGGACATGTAGAAAAAGATTGTTGGCATCGTGGAAAACCAATATGTCACTATTGCAATAGACCCGGTCACGTGGAGAAGTACTGTCGTAACAAAAATAAACATCAAGCAAATTTTGCCGAAGAGCATAATCAAGAGCAACGTCTGTTATCTGCTAACCAAGAATCCTGTGATAACGGAGATGGAAGCTGGTACTTGGATAGTGGATGCAACAATCACATGGCCAAGGACCAAAGCATCTTCAAAGACATTGATAAATCTGTTAAAGTCAAAGTTCGATTGGGAAACGGCACCATGGTGGAGTCTCAAGGAAAAAACACTGTCATGGTGGAGACAAAGAAAGGTACGAGACTCATCAAGGACATGTTACTAGTTCCCAATCTTAAAGAAAATCTTTTAAGCATTGGCCAAATGATGGAAAATGGGTATTCTCTTCACTTTGAAAGAGATATATGCAAAATTTATGATAATAAAAGGCTAGAGATTGACCAAGTAAAAATGGAGAAGAGAAATATAAGTTTTCCTTTAAGCTTTAACCGTGGCACAAATATTGCCATGAAGGTAGAAGTTGATGACTCATTGTTCTGGCATCGGAGATTTGGCCATTTCAATATTCATGCCTTAAAGCTTCTATATCAGAAAGGTATGATGAGAGATCTACCCAGCCTAAAGGAAAATATTGAAGCTTGTGAAGGATGCCTTCTCGGAAAGCAACATAGATTACCGTTCTCAAGCAGTAATGCATGGAGAGCCAAGGACTTGTTGGAGCTAATTCATACAGATGTTTGTGGACCGATGAGGACACCATCACACACCAACAACAGGTATTTCATCCTCTTCATTGATGAATTTTCTAGAATGAAGTGGGTCTATTTTCTGAAGACAAAGTCAAAAGTCTTTGGAATATTTAAGAAATTCAAGGCCCTTGTCGAAAAGAAAAGTGGAAAACAGATAAAAGTACTTAGAAGTGATCATGGCAAGGAGTATACATCTCGTGAGTTTGACAATTTTTGCGAAGATGAAGGCATAGAGTGACAACTTACAGTCGCATATACTCCACAACAAAATGGTGTGTCAGAGAGAAAGAATCGCACAGTCATGGAGATGGCGAGATCGATGTTGAAGGAGAAAGGACTGCCGAATACATTGTGGGCTGAAGCAGTCTACACAGCAGTCTACCTACTCAATAGATGTCCTACTAAGGCAGTTCGGGACAAGACTCCAATAGAAGCTTGGAGCGGGAAGAAACCATCAGCTAAGCACCTAAGGAAGGGTTTTTGGATCTATCTGCTACATTCATGTGCCAGATGAAAAAAGGCATAAGTCAGAAGACAAGACCGTATGAGGCATATTCTTGGGATACAACTCACAATCAAAAGGATACCTAGTCTACAATCTTCAGACAAAAAAGCTAACAATCAGTAGAGATATTGAAGTAGATGAAAATTCTACTTGGAACAGGGAAGAAGAACAAATTGAGAAGAAGACTATATACATGCCCATCAATCAACCAACTACATTAAGTCTGAAAGACAAAAATCAAGACATTGTTATCTCTCCAGAATCTCCAAGAATAGTTCCATAACAAGAAGAATCATCACCTGAGTCTACTCCGAGACGAGTTAGATCACTGGTAGATATATATGAAACCTACAACTTGGCCATACTTGAACCGGGAAGCTTTGTAGAGGCAGCAAACCAAGAAGTATGGGTTAAGGCTATGGAAGAAGAAATTAAAATGATTGAGAAGAATAATACATGGGATCTTGTAGATTGCCCTCATGGAAAAGATATCATTGGAGTAAAATGGGTATTTAAAACAAAGCTTAATCCTGATGGAACTATACAAAAGCACAAAGCAAGGTTGGTTGTTAAAGGCTACTCACAACAACCAGGAGTGGACTACAATGAGATATTTTCTCCAGTCGCATGCCTAGACACAATAAGAGCTTTAATAGCTCTTGCAGCACATAAAGGATTGTCGCAACCCAAAATTTTTTGATCTCGCGACTAATGGTTTAGACATCCTTTTGAAAGTCTCATCAATTAAGGAATGTCCGGACACCAGACTAATCCTTAATTAATGGTTTTGAAAATAGGTTCATGGAGTCTCCACCAATGTTTTACTCAAAACATTGGAAAAAGAAAAGGTTTTTAAAAGTCCAATAATGGCCTTGATAGCCGGATTTGGGTTCGGGGGTCGGTTACGTGTAGGGAACCCCTACAACGCCCTTAATCGGTACCCTATGATGAAGTTAGCATTATAAATTATAATAATAGAAATATTAAATTCCCTTTTATTAATAATTATTTACATGCTTGAAATTTAAATTATACAATTAACCCTAAAATGTCTACATGATTATTTTTATTATAACAATATTGATTATAGATAAGAAATAAAAAAAAAAGAGAGAAAGAGATTAACTGAAATACCTCTTGAATGAGCTCTTTTGAATCTTGAAAATAGGAAGATTTTAGGTGCTTTGTGGCAACCTTTCACACTACAATGTGCCTCACAAAATCTCAAGAAATACAAAAGAGAGAGAGAAAAAAATAGAGAAACTTCGAGCTCTAAGGAGTATCGACAAAATTTGGAGCCCAGAGAACTGTGCCCAAGCTATCTATTTATAGGCATTAGAAAGTGGCCAGAACGGCCCGTTCCAAAACCCGAACGACCCATTCTGGATCTAAACGTTGTGTGTTAATTTTGTGACTGGAACGGCCCATTCTAAAACTAGAACGGCCCGTTCCAGAAGTGAGATTAACACATAATTTCCTAGACTGGAACGGCCATTCCAAACAAGAGTTTGTAGTCCATTTTAATAACTTGGAACGGCCCGTTCCAGTTTAGGAACGACCCATTCTAGTTTAGGTTTTAGTTCTTTTTTGAGGAATTTGGAACGGCTCGTTCCAATCTTGGGAAGGGTCGTTCCAATCTTGGAAAGGGCCGTTCCAATCTTAGAACGACCCGTTCCAATCTTGGAACGGCCCGTTCCAAACTAGGGTTTTAGGCCCTTTTAGGAACTTGGAACGACCCGTTCCAAATTGGGAACGACCCGTTCCGGTTTTCAACAGCTCGTTCCAGGCTACTAAAACTAGCTTGTTTGGGCTTTTAGGCCTTCTTATGTCTTGTCTTGTTATTTCCATGCTTGGGAGCTCCATTTCTTTGATGATAAACGTCTATTTCATTGCTATTGTTGGTCCGGACGAAATTAGGTGTCTACAGCTGCCCCTCTTTACTTGTCCTTTGGATTAGCTATGTGTTGCTTTTCCAAAGGCAAGTAAAGATGTAGACATTTCGTCTGGGTCTTCTCTTCTTCTCTTTGGTGCTGGAGCTTCTGCGTTGTTTCCCTTGGATAGGTGTATTTGCTCGTATCCTCACCCTTTAGAGCAGTTGAGTATTCTATTGGGTAACAAGGCTGACAAACTGTACACCTGATCTTCAGTCTTCGAGTAGAAGCTCCATTGTCTCTCTTGTGATAATGTATTCCTTTATTTGTAGCTTGTTGAATAGGGAGTATTTTCGTAGCTCAGCCTCTCCAGGCTGGACTGATATTTAGGGCTTCAGCTGGCCCACTCTAAGGTCAAATAACCCTCTTTGTT